TACTAGTCATCGTCGCTCACATACAACACCAGGGAGACAATAAGTTAAAAAAACTGTGACGTCTTACCATCACCTAAAAACACCGATTTTACAAAACTTGCAAAAACAGTTCAAGACATATAATTTCGGCATTTTCATTACAACAGAAAAGACTTTTTTGTCACTAATGAAATCATAGTAAAATACTTTTATGTAGCTACGTCAAACACGATATTAAAACTACATACATACTGAGAGAAAATTTTACCGCCATATGTGAAACATAAGTATAGCTTTCAACGAAAGCAATTGCGATTTACATTAGACCGTAATGCTTACATAGCGATATGTAGAGGGTTAGTCGCCCTAACCCTTTACCTCGGCGGGCGAGGGCACGCCAAGGGGCGGCAGCGGAAGGGTTGCCGCCCGGCGGCGGGGCCTCACCCCGAGCTCTCACTACGAGCTTTTTTATCGTGCGTGCCGTCTTTTCCTTTTTCTATTTTTTATGTTTATTTCCCCGAGATCATAAATTATGTTTGAAAGGAGGGACTGAAGTCTCGGACTCGCGGCGACAGGAACCGGGGTGATTCGGAGCGAGGTTGCTGCGTTCTGTTTTTGTTTTTTATGGGCTCTCGTGTGCGTGGGGCTGCAGCGTTACCATGGTGACTGCATCGCATTATACGGTCGCGGGGGCGAGTCGCCACTACACTCCAATATAAATAAACAAGGAATATTTGTTGTTGTAACGTGATCCGTAAGAACAAACGCTTGTCCATATTCATTCGATCCTTGTTTGCGGACAAACTGTCGCGATGGACTCCAAAGCTTTGTTTACATACGCGATTGACTAGACCGTGTAATTGTATACAATAACAGTATTACGTTATAGTTTCTGTTGCGAAACATATGTCTATAAACGCAATATGTTTTAATTCAACCGTCACACTTACAAAACGATTGGTCATCTTGTTCGAGTCAGGATAAAACCCGGATATAACAAACAGATTAGCTTTATCCCCAAACACAGGGAAGTAATCAGATCAAAAAATCAAACGACAACAGATAAACAATTGCGATGTTGCGCAAATATGGTTTCGTAAATTATAATATAAATTCGTAAAGTATAATTATAATAAAGATATCTCTACAACAACCATCACTGCTCTGCGAACAAAGCACAAAGTGAATACCTCCTTAGCCAAGAACCGAGAAAAGTACAAAGATTTTATTAGCAATCTCGTATCTCTTACTATCCACACTTGTGGGAATTTGAGAACACAAATTTAAGTGCATACATAGAAATATTGATAGCAAATAATTTATCTACATCCGTTACAGAATTTAATCCAATTTCGCATTATACTTATTATAATTACAGTAGCCAGGTACTTACCATTGTTATAAAATTATGTTTTGAGATGTATGTGGAATTATTATCGACCATTACAATCGAGGCGACCGCAAAAAGTGAACAAAGCCAATGTTGTATCCACTTAATTGCTTACCCTTGCCTGTGTCAAAAAAAATACCGCGCCATATTGCGTCCAGCATAACCACCGCGAAAGAGAAATTTACGAATAAAAGGCGGGATAGTTACACGGCGCATTGAAAATTAGAAACCCTTTAGGGCGCCACGCCGACAGACAAAGGGGCGAATGGCAAATTGTCGGCAGGTAGCGAATATGTTGGAATGGTTCCAATAATTACTGAGGCCTCTCTACTTTAATAAATGGCCGTTTTTCTATATTTCAAAGGGCGATCGCACCATACGGACGTACCTGCCGCGAACCCTTCTCATAATGAGTTAAGTCCACTTCTTGATTGCCAATTTTTTTTTTCCATAATAAATGGGTTAACGCAAATAATTTATTTTCAACATATGTTGGTAAAATTTTGGTGTCACGAGACTTAACATTTTTCGTAAATATGAAATAATATTTTTTTAGTCATTACGATTAAAACTACATTTCAGAACTAACTATAACCTCGTACAATAAAGTATTTGTTACTCTTAGAACAAAGAAAAAGAAGGCCAAAAAGATTATCAGAGACAATTACAATTACTGCGTTTACCAATGTTGGCGCTGGAAAGAAAATCTCTCTCAATATATGAAAACCTATACTTACAATAACAGTACGAGTACATTGGTCCTTTACGTCACTAAGTGTCGTTAGAAAATAATTATTAACAATTCGTTTTTTACTTTAAACTCCTTCCGGCAGTAACGTGAAGAATTGACAATAACATGGCATATAACAAACGATATATTGTAAAGAATGGTAGCTCATTGTTCGTTAGCTGTTTAGATTAAACAGTATAAAATGAAAGGGTAAGATGACAATCACGCTTTGCCCGGAGGCAATGAAGTGAATCTAAACGACTTGTAATTCCGATGTTTTCGCTGTTAAAATCGCATTTCCTGAACACGATATTTAGCAAAGTCAGCGAAGCGGACACGAGAGTGTCGACTGATGTAAAGGACAAAGACTGTTTCTATACAATACGTTCCTGCGACTATTTAAAATCAATCCTTGCACGACACCCACGCAAATAACAAAATTTTGGTATGGTCCAAGTCAAAAAGAATTTGTCATTTTGTTTTATTCATTGGCATCATTTAACAGGATCATTTGTTTGTACAAGAATAAAGTGAATCACGCCCTTAACCCAGAGCGGTAGACAAAGACCACAGATTTTCATTTGGCGCGGTTCTGACACCCCTCTCTCGCTTTGGCTACATACATCTACGCATACATTTATTAATGACTCTTAAGTTATAACTTTATCGATATTATTTTTTACTGTAAGGTAAGTAGCTAAAAACTGTACTAACCTCCTACCTAATATTTAAACCTCCTTTTTTCTTGCGGCCAACAATCTTAATCGCAAAAACGACACGCTCATAGTTGATGTTATTTAGACACTTTTTATTTTCTTTTAAGTGCCTATTTATAACTTTACTTTTGCATATTGACATTGACTATAATCTTATTCTAAACGTTTTAAATCCGAGGGCACATCTAAAAAAATCACTTTTATTTTTCGTTAACAAAATTGTTCAACGCCTGTAACTTGCGCCTTTAGTTACGGAAGTTTAAAGAATGTAAGCCATAGCGGCACATCGAAGCATAAAACTATCCGTAATCCTTTCTAGTTCAAGCCTTTGACGAGCGATAAGGTAGAAACATTTTATAACAATGTTAAATATTTTGGCGGCTAAACCTTTGTGTTATCTCACCTAGCCGTTATTGATGATACGCGTGGCTTCCTAATAATGCTGCAAACCGCCTGTGGTTTCAAACTTTGAGAATTATGAAATTTTGTACAAGAGTAATAATTTTAGTATTATAATGTTTTCTGCGCTAATCAGGTTTGTTTTCTGTGGTCATTTTCTATCGTATGGTGATCTGTCTTTTCGCTTTTACTCAGTTGTAAGTTACGCGTAATTGTCCACCCATAACCTTTTTCTATACGATTGAAGTAGTATAAAATTAAAATGCTGCTTTTTGGTAACTTTTTAACTTTTCCCTATCATTGACCACAGTAAGTTTTGATTAAAGTAAGTATAAAGGTGTCCGTCGAGGACCACGAATGCCGCTCATTAATACACGTCAGTTGGAGACTGCGAGAGACATCCCAACTAAGATCACATCATTAATATTAAGTAGTACACGTAGGCGGTGCTACGAAAAGGATAAATTTCATGGAGAGATGCTTTCACCCTTTTTAACTCCTACCTATTTGTCAGTGGGCATAGAAATCACCGAAGAAAGGATCCTCGATATCTCTACATGACGTTGCCAAAGTCCATTAGTATTGTCCAGAGACATTATGTGCGTATATCATATCGTGTAGGTTAATGACGTAAATTTCGCGCTTGTCTCGTGCAATATAATAATGTCTTATATGTTAACTTAATTTGACATCTTTATAAATAAACATTACTAAAACATTCCATTATAGTGCTTATCAGTGACTTAACAAACAAATAAACTATGCGATTCTTGTTTGGAAATTTATTCTACCATAATTTATTAATAACAGATATGCGGATAGGAATGCAATTACAAACAATACAAAGATACCTCGATAGCACAATTATTTGTGGCCCACACGTGGAATTCTAATATGTAACAAGAAATTATTTATCGCCTATATAAGAAAGAATACTCATTTTAAAAGTAACCTTTACTTTGTAAATTCAGGAATAATAACGTAACGGAAAAATCTATTGAATGTAAAGCAGAGACAAATTGGTTATCGCTTTTTTATCAAACCTCTTTCACAACAGACTGAAATGGAGTAGATAGGGAAACTCTTGTTTCTTGCAACTATGGAAAAATCTGAAAGTTGCAATGTTTTAACTCGAAAATGAGAAACACTGCTAGAAACCAGATTAAGTTTTGCGCTATATTCTGCTATTGAAAAAATCTAAACCAACAATAGATTACAAAAGTCATTGTTGACCCTTTTGGAAGAGTATTATTTATATTGCGATTTATTACCCTTTCACGTGTCCGTGAAGCCTTCGATACAAAGCTGGGTTAGGCGGTGCCAACCCATTAGTGCGCGCGCGGCGGGGGCTCATGATCACTCGGTTCATGTTAATTTATGTGCTTTGTAGTATTGTCCACTCACAATGGACGCATTTTATGGCCTACTGCCGGACACCCAGATTAACATCGACGTATGATTTTAGCTTTCTCTAGTTTTGTGCAAAACACAATGGCCGCTCTAACCGGCCACCTGGCTATAATGGTTACGAAAAAATCGAGGTAGCTACCGTCCATACCGTTTTGTGCAAAGAATTCTACGTTGGCACCTGCATTGAAGCTATTAAACATACTATTAATTATATGACATCGTTAATTGACAGAAATTGCAATATCGCAAAATGCTAGCAATGCACTGTAGCTGATTGATTAGAATTGCAGAACAAAATATAACAATTTAAATAACTATAAATATACTTTATTTCGAATTACAATTAAATATATTTAACAAATTACTTAAATTATTAAATATATTGCACCTTATGATATAAATGATGGCGGTTGAATGGGAAACCACAATTTGGGCAAAATTTTAAAACTCTGAAAACAAAGTGTTACTATCGTTCCAAGTATGATTATAAAAGATTCCCCAAAATAAAAATGTAATGTCAACATAGAAATAAGCGTGACTAAAACAGCGCAATACAAAATATCATCCATAATCATAATTTAAAAAAAGACTTCGATACAAGTTTCGTAAAATTAAAAATAATTATAAATTAAAAGAACAAACAACAATAAACAAACTCAGGTACAGATTTGTATTCAAATTTGTTACAGACTGATATGGAAGTAATGTAAGAAAAGAAAATTAAGTCCAAATTAATAATTCCATAGTTGTGCTGATAAAGTTCGACTACTCTAGTCTTATAATACCTTATAACAAATATATTTATCAAAATTTCTTAATGCAAAGGCATCGTTTCTTCTTCGGAAATGGTCTTCTGCGGCGCTTGTCCCGGCGCCAGCTCCCCGTGTATCCTGACACGATACAGACAGGTGTACAGCGAGTGTCCCCAGTTAGAGAACACTTTGAGTCTCACGATAAGGTAGGCCGCGGCAGCCGGTTGCTGCACCTCGAAGTACTGTATAGGCTTACCGTCCTTGTCATACTCAAAACTGCCAAAGTCATGCGGATGTGGATCGCCACGGTGCGACAAACCTTCGAGCTGGAATAGACGTGGCGCCGATGATATTTCTCTAAAGGGAAAAGTTATGAACAAGGTTTAGAAACGTATTAATAAAGATGTAAAATAAAGTTACTCAATTTCCTATTTTCACGAATCTATACGAAGATATTTAATACATTGAACTCAAGAAGTAATCAAAAAGCACATAATTAAAATTTTTAGACTAACTTTGTTGGCGAGATATGCGGCGGTATATGTTCAATGCTGATGCCGGTAATGTGGACTGAGCCCACGAGTCGTATGGTGACCTCGCCCCGGGAGCCGCGGAAGGCCCAACACTCGCCGGGTAACGTGCCAGGGCGCAGGATGGCGGAGGCGCCAGGGCACTCGCGGCAGAGCAGTGAGCTCACCGCGTGCAGCGCCCACCCCACAGTGGACTCATATATCATGTACTCCTGCGTCTCTCCAGTATCAAGTATACGGGCGCCAGCGGACTCCAGGGCAAAATCTGCTATCTACAAAAATACCTTCCTAAGCATTTATTATTGGATAACATATAACTGCCGTAGAAAAGTCTTAGATAAAAGCGTTATTCGAGTCTTAAAAATTAAGGAAACCAATTCATTTACATATATTTGTATAAATATAAACTCACATTGGTCATGTAATAATAAATAATAAAATTTCTTAATGTCATTTTTGGGTATAATACCATAGAATGTAGAGATGGTAACTTTATAAATAGCATGTATTTTATTTTATTACACCTGTCGGTCATAGTCGCCCATATCCATCAATTGCCGCGCGTGCCGGCGCGTGGGTTCCAACGCGTCCTTTACGCGGCCCGATGCCGCAGTCATAGCCGGCAGCGCTGACGACATCCTCTCCAACTCGTTACGGATGCGTTCGTGTTCACGATTCATCTTTTAATAATAATAAAGCAAGTAAGTGGGAAATGAGGGAATGTTTTACCATTAGCCATTGGCAGAGGAAGGCCTCAGTGTTTAGAAAAACAGAATACAGGTACACCAACCTGCTAATAAACGTCGCATCGCGGAAAATTTACGCTGTAAAAACCTAGCTTTAGATAGATGACAAAAAGCTTAACTTTGATTTCAATAAAAGTTTTGAATAATGAGAACAGTACACAACCTCAGATAGGCCCTGTGTAAGTTGCATGACCATGTATTTTATATCTCCGAAGTCTCCCTCAATGGTGTCCTGCGAGCCCCACAGGTACGAGTACACGTGCAGACCCAGTAAAAGCGTCAGCGCCACGCAAACGAAAGAACGGAAGATGTTGCGGATGCCACAACCCTCCTCCTCATCGTAATCCATCACACCGTTAAAAATAAACTAATAATATAATCTTAAAACGTTAACACAATTAATATAAATCTTATAATGTATAATTGTTAAAACTCTTGTAAGCGTATTCAAGTTTATATACAAACATCTGTCAATATTGTTTTTCATTCTTAAATGTCATATGCTCTTTAATTTTTTCAATAAGCTTTTGTATGTAAGAAGGTGGCAAATAAGCGGCCGGAACATCGAAAAGATCATCGACGCCCATGGAGAATCGCACACCAGAACTGAAGCTGCGTTACCAGTGTTTGAATTAGAAATATCGATTTTTGAAGGTCCCCTAGACATACTGGTTTGAAAATACCGCCGAGAACAGGCCAATAGTTTCTGAGTTATCTATGTGAATCTATACGAATTTTAGGTATTTAGTCTTTTTCGTAGTGATTTATTTATCTATTTTATAGTTTAATGAGTCTCTAGAGTGAAGCCCACTTTGCCCTTCCATTGCAGCTGCTGGCGATGCCCATGCGCTTATGCATATTTTTTTAGGCTAATATAATTTTCAAAGCAAATTAGAAGCACGTCGCATATGTAGAATAAAAAGCAATTAATAGTTATGTAAAAACTTTATTGTCTGTGATTCTATGCTTTCTGTTGCTGTGCGGTGTACTCTAGCTGCGCGGCGGCGACGGACTTCATAGACTCGTGAGCTTGATGAACATTAGCGCGCCAGGCGAGCAGCACACTGCGCAGCTGCTGCCACTGCGCCGGACCGAACGTGCGGTGCATTGTGCTCGTGACGCGCACCGTACGCGCAGCCTGGTCCATGCGCGCGCGCACCAACTTCGTCTTCAGCACTGCAAACATTCAAAATAGTATAGAATACGACTCAAATTCATCAAATTACATAAATTTTAGTAATTTGTCTCAGATTTATAATTGTTTGGAATCACGGCATTCATTTCTTGGTGGTACTGGTAACATCATATACATTATTTATCTAACAGCTTTATAGAAGTATTTCTATACAATTAAAACAAAACTGATGTATCAAAAGTTTCAAAGAAAAACATTACCTTCAATGATAAAAGCTTCGACATTCTTCTCTTCAATCTGCAGTTCAGTTATCATGTCATCAAATGTTATTTCAGGATTAGTCTCCGCCATCTGCATAAATGACAATATTCTCATCTTCTTCACATTCTGCTCATGATTGAGCCCTTGAAATTGAACATTAATGTTTTATTTATAATTACAGTCTTCTCCCAATGCTATATTTAAATATTTAAAAATCTTATAAACATGTCTTTGTATCTATATTATAGATAATCCTAGATCTAAGATTCAGAATCTTAGTTCTAGGATTCTCAGTAGGATTCAAGATAAAACTGAAAAGCAAAAAGTTGTATTCCTTTTTCTAAATATTAAACAGCTTTAAAGTTACTTCTTACATAAATATCTTAGAATAATATAAACAACATCATAATTAAACATACCTTGAGACTGTACAAACTCTTTATGATTTTCATAAAATGTTACATAACTTGAAAGTTTCTCCGATACAAAGATTGTAAGTAGATCATATATCAGCTCTCCTTCCAAAAACCGGACAGGTTTCAAGGACAGCAATGGGTCTAGTAGGAATGTATTGGGATCAGCTAGTGCAGTGACTATACACTTGATTGCATCTTCTCTGGCGTATGATGCATTTTCATCTGTGTATGTGCCAAGTAACTCTATCATGACCTTTGAAGCTAATTCACTGCAATGAAATAGTAAAACAATTAAATTAAGAGGCTCACAAGTAGGGTGAAGTGAACAAAGAGACCAAATGCCAACTGATTTCACATTTAAAAAAAAATGTTCAGATATAATAAAAAATTTAGCAAAAGTAAATCTTACTATTATAAAAAAATGTGAATGTTTGGATGAAATGTGAATGGCTGTATAGATCTCGCTGAAATTTGGCATAATTAAAAAAAAATAATTAAGCAGTTTTTACTTTGGAGTAGACGGAGTTGCAAGCAACAGCTAGTGTTAAAATAACTCCTACAACCTTTGCTAAAGATAAACCTTTAGTTTGTTTCAACATCAACACAGAAAAATGTTATTACATGTTCTAATAACTAACAGAGTAATAAATGGTACACAATAAATATCAACTAGAATTGTCTTTGAAAACCATACCTGTTTTGATCTTTTAAAACTTGATGGAGTAATCTGTACAATTTTTGCATCTGTTCATTAGAGGGGGGGCAGCTGGAGAACTCCTTTTTCAGATGCTCTACACCTGTGAACACATCCTTGACAGCGCCAACACGTGCAGCAAGTTCAATCACATGGTAATACACATGGTATCTCAATGGAGAGTTGGCCTCTAAGTTGTTATACAACCTCCATAGGCTGGAAAGATAGTGCATATTTTTTTAAATAATCATTGATTTAGATGTAACAATATCAATTATTTGTGTATATTTACTTATGTTCACACAATATCTTATAGGATTTGATAAAATATAATTTGTGAAAGACTATTATTGCTTAATTACTTACGACTGTAAAGCTATTAATCCAACTTTGGGGCCCGGTGATTTGCCGAGCCTTTGACTGAATGCAACAATAAGGTTTTCACCTCTTTCTAATGGTATCTGCAATATACAAATATCATTTATATTTAAATTATATTTTCTTTTTTCACATCTAAGAAGTTTGTTTTATTATTGATATGCAAAAATTCCTTTAAGCATCACAATTAAATTAAGACGACATGTTTTATGTGTTTATTCAATCTGAATTTGAAATGAAAAGAAGTTTATGAAAGATACACATTTTATATACTTACGGAAACCATTATAGAAACAATACTGTTGAGAATGGCTTCGATTTCATTTTCATTAGTTTCTTTCAAGCAGACATCACATACACCAACTATTTTATGTAAATCATCTTCTATTCCCTTTGCAGACTTTTCCTCGGATATTTCTGCGCCAAGACTTTTAAAATACTTTCTGAGTTCTTGTGCCTATAAATACCATTAGATATACAACATTGTTGTAATATTTTTCCTAGTTTGAAACGATAGAGTAAATTATTTTTAGGTTATTTTAGCATGACTTACTTGATCTTCGAGAGATATATCCATAAAAATGGCAGGACCCTGCATATTGCAAAATATGAAATTTTTTAATAATTTGGTTCAAATTACAAGTGAGTTGATGTTATTACAGTCAAAAATAATAAATTAAGACATGAGCCAGCTAGGCAAGCGAATAAAAAGACAAGCATTGTGACTTTGACATGCAATGACCAGTGCGTAACAGAGTTATAAAACTTTCTCTTAAACATATTAAAAGCTTACCTTATCTGTACTGCAGCTGCACACAATTTTCTTAAAATGGCAACTATTTTAATATGGATTGACAAAGACAAGCAAGTGACAACTGACATTTCATTGACGTTTGCCAAAAAATAAAAATCTCAAATTTTATGTTAATAACCCATATTTAATTTATACCTTAAGTAGACGACATAAAATTTATTTCACATTAACATTTGCAGCATCTTCCGTTTCATATTTTGAAAATAAAATAACATGCTTACAATAGTTTAGTGCTTTTCTAACCTAACAAACTTCGGGCTCGAATGATTCCATATGATTCTAAATTATAATAATGTCAAGTTTTCATAAGAAATCGGATTCACAATACAGCATCAAAGGAACCAAACTAAAAAATAATTTACCTTATATATCTTCTGGTATTCCATCCTTAGATCACATAATTGGTAAGTTTATTTCATGAAGGACCTAAACAGTCATCAATACCGAATTACATGATTTTTTTAGAGAGAGAACAATTTTTATTTCTTTTGTAGGCGGTGGTCTACCTTCAGGAGCAATTTTTGCTGTTGGTAAGATTTCATTTATTGATTGTTATCTTATACAAATTTGTGTATAGGCCTTACATTTTTTCATAATTAAACTGTAGACATATTGACCAGGTGCTATAATTTACTATAAATTTCAGAGGAAGATCTTTTGGGCAGTTACAGTAGAGTTTTAACAAAGTACTATCTTGCTGAAGGTGTTACTTCAGAACATGCACTGTTTATTGCTTCAGCGGATGAAGATCCTCACATTATTGTAAGTTTTTGTTGATATTTTTTTGTTATAATTTTTGCATCAAAAAAAATACAAAATCAACTAAGTATGACAAAAATATAAAGATGTAATTGTAATAATTCACAGATAAATGAGTTGCCACAGCCATGTACCGATCTACCTAAAGAAGTAGACCCTAAGGAAGGCAATGTTGAAATGAAAATCGCTTGGAGATACGAGAGACTGGGCCAGGTGGAATCTTCCTTTGGTAGCAATTCCTCGTTCGGACATAATTTTGACCTGAGCAAACATATGGATAAAGAAACTGTACAAAATAGAAATATTACTTACTGTTTTTTAAATGAAGATGAATTTGGAAACAAAGATAAAGTAAAAGGTAACAATATGTTTTTGTTACTGTCTTGATTGACTGGTCAACTGATGGCTTGATTTCATGCTTAACTAGTCTCTACGCTAGTTATAGGATCATTCAATTGGCAAGATAGTGGTAGAGTTTACGGTTTGATTGACAAAACACACAGCTTTTCGTTACTGTAATATATTAAACTACATTATACTGTACATAATAAAGTTATACTTTCAGGCTTCAAGAATTACATGTTTTTTAAATTATTAACTGAAATCAAAGATCTTGTATCAAAAGAAGAGTTCCACACAAGTGGTAAAAATAAAAATATCTTACGTATAAGCATACAGTCACTTGGCTCTCCAATCTGGTTGGCTGCGGATTGTGATGAAAATATAAACAGTGATTATGGACAAGATTTAATTAAATTTTTATACACTCTTAGATTAATTTTAAGAGATACATTGGCAGTTGCATTTATAACTGTTCCATCACATTTATTCGATGTAAGATTTTTTCTTTTTAAATTGTTTAAGTCCTTTTCAAAATTTCCATTATTATAACCTTATCTGTTTCAGGATGAGCATTTAATGCCCAGACTTCTATATTCCATAGACAATGCAGTCAGGATAGAGTCGTTTGCTGGCTCTAGTCGGGAAACAAACCCAGTGTATAGTGACTACCATGGCTTATTCCATGTCACTAAGTTGTCAGCTATATACTCACTTGTGCCTTATGTACCGCCCAGTCTGGATCTAGCATTTAAACTGCGCAGGAAAAAATTCGTTATTGAAAAATTACATTTGCCACCAGGTAAATAAATTTACACAATATTTAAAACTATCTGTATTGCAATTAAATGTATCATTAATTAAATATAAAAGCTTTTTTTAGTTACGAGGTGTAATATACTCTGTCTTTGCTTTATTTCAGAGCTGCAAGAGTCCAGTGAAAGAGAACAAGATGATATCACAGCAGTGCCTAAATCAGTCAGCTGTGGAGGATTTAAGAAAAAGGATATAGATTTCTAAATAATTGATTAGAAATAAAAAAAATATATTTTTTACAACTACCCTTTTTTATTTTAGTAATCACTTTCATTTTATAAACGACGGATATGTTTAACATACGTATGTGGAAATGAAAATAACTCGTCCATTAATTTTAAACAATCCTACCTTAATTATTAGTCACCCCAGCTGCTCAACGGCGCGTATCTCCCTAAAACCGACAAAACTATTCATCGCACATACCACGCGGACTCACTACTACGTTAGCTTGCATTTCGGTGTTTACTGCATTCATGTAAACAATATTTTTAAAAGTATAATAAAAATGAAGATCAAAAGGATCGCAAGTGCTAAAGTGCTTTATGGGTGTTTTAACACTTTATTTCTTGTAAGATATTAATACTAGTTATAAAATCTATAGTCCTTAACATTTTAAACTAAAAAAATGCGCAGTTGACGCTCAGTAAAAAAATGCATCCAAAAAAACGTCTTTACTGGATTTTTTTTATAAAACAGTGTGTATGTGTTGCTACAATTGAAGTGTTTTTTATTTATTCCAAGGTATTTGGTTTTGCGAAAGTGATATGTGGATTCCTGCTACTATGCGACTCCCAGAGGATCCTATTATCAAGTCTTCTGGCGATGCCTGATGAGGGTCTACCTGAGCCGCCGTTTTACTACGTCGCGTTAGCTTTACTAGCCAGCGGCCTCACTATATGCTTTATTGCTACGTTCGGCATCTGGGCAACATATATGCCTGGATATATACTGCTGACTATTGTAAGTTTTTATTTTAAATTTCTAATCGGTTTTTTTAACGTGGGATAATTAAGTTCGGTTTTATATATTTTTTATGCTTAATTTCTTTGTAAAATCGTAAGGTTCCTTATCAAAATGGTACACGTCGCTTGGGTCAATGTAACGATCATTTGATTATTTAAAATTTAACTTAGCGACGTCTTTCAACTTACTCTCTGTCTGTTTACATTGCATTACATTCTACCACAATAATAATGTGTTTTTACAGTACTTTTTGGTAGTACTATCTCTCTTACTATGCGAGTGCGCGTGCGGCGTTGCGGCTGCGATTTGGCCGCGCTGCGTTGGTCTGCAGAGTGCGCGGGGCGGCGCCGTGCCCGCGCTGCAAGCCTACTACGCGCTTCCTGACTATGAGGACTTCACTGCAGCAATCGATCTCGCACAGACGCAAGTTAGATCCTTTGATTTAAAAAGTAAAACAAATAATGTTCCTCCTTATAACCGCACTGAGATTTGTCTCCTGTCGTGTAGATTTATTAAGAGAATTTTGCTCATTTGTCTTGGAAGTTATAGTATGACCAAGAAAAGAATATAATTTTATTATGAGTGTTTATGATTGTCTATTGTGATCGTAGTTGAGGTGCTGCGGGATGACGGACGCGCGCAACTACGACATGTCTGTGTGGCAACTGCGGCGGCTTGGCCCGCGCGGGATGTCGGTGCCGCTATCCTGCTGCGTGCAGCGCGCGCCCGCCTCTTACCTCAGCCCCGCGCCGCTCAACCAGTCTCGCTGTCAGGATATACAACCCAACCCCACCTACAGACACGCTCCGGTATGATACTACACGTGCACGATAATGTGATACTTGCAACATAAAACATAATTTTATATATTTTATCAAGCTCCAAAACTTCAAGGTGAACATGAGAGCATTATCTAAACTTACTAAATTCAATGTCAATTCCTAAAAAATGTTAGTTTTTCTTAGTATTTTCATTTGTCAAAGTTTAAATGTTTATTTCAGGGTTGCTTGAGTAAACTCGAAGACTGGTATCAAGAGCAGTACATGGTTTTCATGCTTGGGTTATTTGTGATGGCCGTCTTCAAACTCGGCCTCCTGTTGACAACCGTATTCTCTTGTATCCGCTTACGAAAGCGCAGGAAATACATACGGTCTTACATCATGAAGTCAACAGATAATAAAACCAATGAAAATATCTACGAGCGCAAAATGGCGGGAAACCACGACTCACCGATAACTACGAAATATATTCAACCGAATAATTACTACAGTCCGAGGTTACGGAACCCGAAAATTTTCCAAGGACGACCGAATGAAATAGTATGAGAATTAGCCGTGGAGATAAATGCTTTAGAAATGAAGTTGGAAAAATTCTCCGATTTCTTATATAAACATCAAGCAGATTCTATTATGTGGTAGAAAGTATAATGCTAGAAATTTTTGAATTTTCTCATCAAATGGCATTTACACGAAGTCATCAGTACATTTGATACTTCTTTCTGTCAAGAAGGTTTCGTCAAAAAAATCTTCTTTTTGCCAAAGAATCGTATTTCTTGTCATTTGAATAATTATAAGATGGTCGCATAAAACAATACTATGTAATACGATAACATCGTTAATTATCTCCACGGAACTGAAAAAGAAATATATTTAAAACACTAGGTGTAAAATAAATCGGTAAATACTTTTTAATTTCGGGATGGAAGTAATAAAAGAAGTATGAATACTCAATATGCAATATTATTTTCAAAAGAACATTCAAAAATTGGTCCTAAATTTAAAAGTGTTAACAAACGCTCTGGAATGTTTTCTATCATTCACAATTGGTTTACAGCTGTAACAGAGAGCTAAGATATTGCAGATGTCTCGGTATTAGGGTATACTACTGGTAAATTTCATTTAAATCTTACGCTACCCAATTATAAATACAATTATGTACTCATAAATTAATTTGTCATAATAAATTGTAATATATAAAATGTTTGTTTAAGTATAAATTACAAATTTAATAAACAGAATATCAAATAAAAAATATAAACGAAACCAAAATCCTGATTAATCCAGAATCCCGCAAACCCCATCCTAAATGATACATGAGATCCTTAACTATAACAATAATCTATCTATTTATAATAATTGATACTATATTAATATTAACTATTGACCGTTGAGACCGACATCACAGTAAAATCTACTAATTACATCTTAGGTTCAGGAATGATCTTAAAATAAAACTTATACTTAGTAAGTCGATACAATTTATATTTCGCAATATGAATAGAAAGTAGATTGGGCCATTCTCGAGGCGGATAGACAAAACTCACTGATTAACCTAAAGCGCCTCAATGCATCGTACACATCATAATTGGCGGGAACAGGCTATCAAAATTTATCCTAAAACGTTATTCAATAAAATTACAGTTTTTTTTAACATAGATTAAACATTCAAGCTAAATTTTTTGCGCTATTAAAAAGTGAAAAGTATTGCCTAATTTACACATATTTCATGTTAAATTTTTTATATTTATAGATGTTACAAAATTTACTTAGCGTTTTATTTTAAAGCAAATTCAAAGATAACGCTATAAAAACAAATCCTAATTATGAAATTTTTACAGTTACATTTACATTGTAAGCATTGTTTTTAAATTTTTTACCTTAAATTTTATTTTAAATTATTTTATCCTTGTTACGAAATTACGTCTGTCATTTTCTTATAACTATTGAAAGCATTAATACATATTATTTAGGTAGTTTTAAGCCCAACTTTTATCGTTCCCGCCTTAAAGAATGTAGGTCCCAAAGTGAAATCTAAATATACAGTATTACAGTATCTCATATATCATTCATTCATTCATTCACTCACTTCTTCAACTCATTTTATAGTGTATTGCCCCAAATCATTCACTTCTCATTCGATTGTAGGCAAAGTAAATAAAAATTGGTTGTCTTTTGTGCTATTAAGTCGCTATATGAAATATTTTCAAATAAATACATTATATATTTATATAAACACTATTTTGCAACTAAAAAGAATCTATTATAAGAATGATAACATTAAGCGAAAGTAATCTGTGACTACTATTTATATTTAAAAGTTGAATTATAAACAAACATCTTAGCGTTACAATATTTACAAACATATTAACAATAATAAATCTTATAAATACTTTGAAATGGATATTTTACAATAAATAGTCTATAAAACAATGTCCGAAAGTGTCAAGTCTTCGGAGCGAATTCAATATTTATATAATGTTCTATCGAACTCATAAAATTCCGATGTTAAATTCCTGTCTGAATAACTTTGGTCGTGATATTTTTTAATATTGGTCGTGAAATTTTTGATTATATCAAATTGTTATACAATAATCAAAACGGAATTTTCTACTTCACTTAAAAATGTACTAAACCTTGTTCAATTGATGAGATTTTTATTTAAAATGTCGTTCGGATATTTTTAAAAGAATTAATTTCACGATATTTTAATATCGTTTCTGACTAATATCAAATAATATGCAAGTAAATGGAATTATTGGCAATGTTGATAATATGATAATACATGTGTGATGTAAGAAAAGTAAAAATAAATAATTATGCTTTCTTTGTATTACTTTTCTTAAGAAATATATCTAATTCATTGATTATATTTCACTTGATTTAATTAAATCTCATAAGAAATTGAACAGGTTATAAAAATAAAATGTAAAGAGTCTACAGGATATCGTTAAGGAAGGAATTATCTAGAGAGTTCAATAGTTCTTGAGCGGTGAGGTTGCTGGTGTCTGAGGAAGGCATGTTGTCGAGGAAGTCAAAGTTGAAGTCTGCAGGTCCCGAGTAGGAAGACGTGTGGAGCGAGGGGAAGGCATGACTGGAGTTGTTATTCTGACTAATTGGAGCGTTCTGAGTCATCATGGAGTTCTGCATGGGGTTGGTCTGAGCGTGCATGGAGCCGGTCTGGCCTTGCATGGGGTTGGACTGCATAGGGTTGCTCTGCATGGGGTTGGTTTGATGCGAGCCCATGCCGCCCATGCCCGCTTGCTGCATCGACATGCTTTGCGACTGGCTCATGTGAATGTTCGGCATCTGCAAATTGTGAAAAATTATTATTAATTGTGTGTTTTAATTTAATATTTATTAAGATAAACAGCTGTTTTATGTTAATCAAAAGCAATTGCAAATAACTGATACGATTATGCTATAATATCTTTGTATTGATGCATGAATCAATCTAAAGATATTTTCAGTACATACATACTTGCAGTATATATTTAAATCAAATAAAAGAGGATATAATTAGTGGTACATACCTGACCCTGCACACTCATCATCTGGTTCTGCTGCATGATGAGGTGAGACATCGGCGACTGCTGCTGGCTGGATGTCCTGCACACACACACACAGAACAAACTTAGAGTATGCTCAAAGGTTATTTGTTTCACTCTTAATATTTGAAGTATGAATTGTTAATTGCTTATTATACAGCTCGTCTACTCAATATGTTAGCATTACCAAATATAAGCTATGAATGATTTATACCAAATTTCTATGATAAAAATAATCGAAAATAAACAAAAAGAGTTACAGTTTATAACAAAAGTAGACCATATGATTATTGTTAGCATTTATTTTTTAACATGTCTTTACCTTTGTTGTTGCTGTTGTTGTTGCTGCTGCTGTTGATGCTGGTGCTGCAGCAGTTGGTGTTGCTGCAGGCGCGCCTGCTGCAGCTGCAGCTGCTGCTGCTGGTGCTGCGTCAGCCCGCCCATACCCGCCATGCCGAATCCTCCGCCTACATAATTATAATTAACTCAGTAAATTAACTTATTAAGAAATAATTTAAGAAGTAAACTCATTAAAGTTGTGGCAGAGAACCTGTTAAAATAGCATTAAGAAAGGTATTTACTATGTGATCAGGTTAGGCGAGTAAAGTACCTTGGTGGTGGTGCGGGAACTGCTGGCGCGGCTGCTGCTGCATGAGCACGTGTCGCCAGTCGGGCGCGTACTGTCGCGCGTGCGGGGCGAAGGCGCGGGGCGCGGGGGCTCGGCGCGGGGCGGGCGCGGGGGCGGCGGCGAAGCGCGCCTTGTACTCGGGCGGCGGCGGACGCATCTGCTGCTGCTGCGCGCGCAGCATCTGCTGCTGTTGCTGCTGCAGCATCTTGGCTTGCTGCTCACGGGATATGCCGGCCGCTGCTACACCTGTTAGTAATATAAGTTCTCCTTTAAAAACTATGTTACATTTATATTACTTAATTAAATAAGATAAATAAAAATTACAATAGTACAATGTTCAAAAACTTAAACGTATATACGATAAAAAGATAAATTATAAATTTTGATCTTGATTTATGACTAAATAAAATCGCTTATGTCATTGTTACGTACACTCGTTCACATTCCAATAGTTTACATAATGGACAGGAAAACGCGCAAAACGTGTTAAAGTATATTGCATTCATATGCTACAACTATTTCTCGATGAAAATGTTACTTAACTGGTTACCTTTACTTGCGAGCTCTTTTCATCTAGGTTCAAAATATTAAATAAATAACTTCTATAGCCAAACTATGTAACCAATGGTATCTTCGTCACATTCCTCCAAATCCCCCAAGCTACAATTTGCGAGTATGTTACCTAGAGGCGGTGGCTGCGGTCCTGCGGGCTGCTGCTGTGTGCCGGCAGGGCGACCTCGCATCGCCTGCGAGAAGTTGAGGCTCTGCGACTGCGACACTGAATACGTATCGCAACCGCTACCTGTAAATGCATCACAATTATATTATATAAATGTTCTTCTTGAAAGAGACATAAAAGAACAATGGCAGAATTTTAAGTGGAAAATTTTTGAAACGTTTTTAGAGTTCCGTTCCTAAAAAAACCCTTACGGAATCACCCTGTTGCCTACCGTTTGTGTGTCATGGTCTATTTTTCAATTTGACAACGTTATAGTTATGATATTGTTAAAAGAATTATATCTGAAGAAACTGTAGTAAACAAATCATCGTTCCAATAAGAAGCACCTATCACCTATCAGATATTTTTAGCGCAGTAACCGAGGTTATCGTTAAGTTGTTCGCTATAAGCCCTGAGAAATTGCGTTGTCTCTTTTACCAAGGCCATTTACCATATTGTAACTTTTATTATAATCCTACCTTGCTAATATCAAAGTGTCTGTGATATCGAATAATTTTAATGTACTGGTTTACATACATCGTGAGTAAACCTGTCTCGCAAGCTTCGTGCCTTATCGATTCGATCGGAAATGATTTCTCTAATAAAACTATTTAAAAAAGCCTAGCGATCTCAAACAGCTTTTTATGAAACTCATTCCCGTCCGAATCCGGTACTCAAGTTCAAAAGAAATTAAAAATATTTACAAAATGTTTGAACAGAGTTAAGGGTTGTAAGGAATACGGAGGGTCCTAATTTATTACTCTAGATATCAGGTGTGCGTGTTAAAACCTTGCTAGGAATCGACCTAATTTGGCATCACGACCGCCCGGCAGATCTGGGTCGACCATTTCATCCTTGATCCGTAAATTTATTTGTAACCAAATAGAGTCTAATTCAATCTAGCTTGACTTATACTTTCTTTTCATTTCATTTGTTACAAAATGTATTCTTTAAAAACACTTTCGTTGTTTTATTCCTGCTTCTATTGCAGTTGCAACATATTGTGAAGTTAATGTCATCGTAGTTAATTCGAAAATACGTAGAAAACAAACATAAACAAAACGTATAAGATAGATTTAATAACCGTGTTAGTTACTTTGGTTAACCGACAACAAGCTAAATGGTGTCCTGCGCCTCTCCATACATATGCACGGAATCTATACGACGCAAAGTCGCCTAGCATAATTATTGCCGAACCTTAAATAACTCCACGTTTACTCGTAAACCGGCTCTTACAAGGCAATGGACCCGAGCAACGCCACATTTGTTTCTGTTCTGAGCAGCTAGCGGCCAAGATTGCAACAATAAAGACTTCAATGTACGCATGTCATCCCTGAAGCGCGCGACTTGACGCATTCTCTCAGATCGTCAACCTCACAATGCGCGTCTCCGACCGCAAGCTGGCTATCCCAACTTGAGCCCCGGCTGTACTGTGCAGCGCTACAAAATAAAGACCATTCCTACAGCACAGTTTTACGCTTATGCTGGAAACTAGCTGCGCGCATACTCCGCATTACATTGTAGTATGTTATGAAAAATAAACTTTGCGCGAATGTTTATGAAATCGTACAAACAAAATTTGCTGTCTGGACTAACACGATACCGTATGATTTAATTACATATATGAAATACTAAATTATAGAACGCATCTGAACACTTTATCAGCAGCATTTATGTATACTAAAATAAGACCTGATTAGCTGAATAATGTCCTAGTACTAAAATCTCGTGTAAAATGAATTATTGAATTTTATAGGCTGAATTCTTCGCCAAACTTATAATAACTCTAAGACAACTCTAATGCCTGGTTAGCTGTAATAACTTAATTCGTTGGTCTCGAAGATAGCGAGTTCTTTTTTACCGAATTAAGAATAAGAGTTATCTTACCTTGTTGATGATGAACTACGAGTTATCTTACCTTGATGATGTTGCGGTGAGGGCGTGCCTTGGTGCTGGAAGCTGGCGTACATGCCTTGCTGGGCAGCCACAGACACGTGCCCGCCCGTGCCCGCGCTGTTCACTTGCATATGCTGCGCCGCCGACACCTGTACACCCAGAGTAAATAGGCCGTTTAAATTATTTAATGGTTCTACTTGCTTGCGATTATTGATTTCTGAAATCCAAAGTTTGCCATTTTAATGAAATCTCAGATTACTTACATATTGGGACAAAATATAAGCAATAGAGTCGTGGGATACACTTAAATTACAACTGATTGCCTGAACTAACCTTTTATCAGCGTCACATATTTTTGGCTGTATTTTAAAATGATTTCAAAGGTGAAATTTCATCGTTTATAATATTAAAATAATGCCTTAATGTTTTGTAGGTTGTAACACAAACGGCTACTGTGGAACCGGTTTATGTGAGAGAAAAATGTATTTTAAAAACTTTATTTAATTTTTCTCACGAGTTAAATTATTATTCGTCCTTTATTTTGCTGCCTCTGTGCATTTTATATAATCCGCAAGATTGTTAATTCTGAATGGAGAATTTATTTTTGACTTCCCGTCTGAGACTGAAAGAACTTGTATACAAGTTTCACCCTAATTAATTTACGAAAAAGGTATTATACTTTAGTAGATATGGTATAAGAATTGGTAACATATCAATATTAGGTGTAATTAGTGGGAGACAATACGAACATATGCACTGTGGGCGCCCTCTGCCCCACTAAGGGGAGATAGGACTTCAAGTCAAGGAAGTCATTACGAACACATATTGAACCTTGCAAAGTACATCCGACTCGTTTATTTGATTTGGTTCCGAACGTGATATGACTGAGCGTATAGGATAGATAGATAGTAAATATAGTTTTTTTTTAATTAGTATAGACCTTACTAATATTATAATATTATAAATGCGAATATTTAGACGGATGGATGGATGTTTGTTTGAAGGTATCTCCAGAACGGCTCATCGGATCTTAAGCAAATTTGGCACAGATGTATAGCATAGTCAAGCAGGTCACGTAGGCTACTCATTCAGCTTTTTCGCGACGGAGTCTCGGGCGACAGCTAGTTTATATGTATAATTAATTAGTACGCTTAGCCATATTTTCGATTTGTTACACCAAAATATGCAAAGATACAAATATACAAATAAAAAATGTTTAAATCCTCGTTGTATGTGTATACTCTTATTTCGCGACCAAATTCCCACAGTATACTAATGAAGTTTGTGTATAAATTTGAAAGTATTGTGCAGGTAGACGTATGTGATGTTTTTGCGTCGGCAAGTGAGCGCTGATCGTTGACAGCTGCCGACCGGAGACGAGAGCGATGCGATGCCGAGACACAAACCAGTTTACTACCACAAACCTCCCACTCTTAACATTTTGCCACTACATACTAATAAGAAAGAATAAAGAGATTTATCTCTATATCATTCAAATAACGTTTACTGATTTGCTCTAGAATATTTTATATCAATAAAGGAATATAAATGGAAACTATATAGTACTATTATAGCTGTCGCCCGCGACTCAGTCAGCTCGGAATTTAAAAAAAAACTTAATTAATAGCATATGTGTTCTTTCAGACTCTGTTCTACATTTATGTCAAATTTCAGCAAAACCCATACAGCCGTTCTAGAGATACCTACTAACAAACAAATATGCATCCATCCATATATTCGAATTTACAGTATTAGTAAGATATCATTAAATTTGCCTTACTTGTACACTCTTGTGATATTCGGGGAAAGAAACAAATGAGATCCAATACTTCAAAATTTGTCAAGTTGTTTCAATTACAGATTACAAGGGAACGGACGGACACGTAGCCGAGAAAAAATCGGTCGCGTAAAATAGTATTATATTTATATAATTAAACTTTATACGAGTATGTACCAAAAACTGAAACTTATTTTACTGAAGGGCCATGTACAAGGTTGTAAGCGAAGAGCACGTACACTTAAACAGAGGCAGATAATACGAAAAAAGGGTGTCAGGGCCGAGCTAAATCGAAGCTTGTAATATTCCTAACGAAGAGGCGGCGTAAGTTCATGTTTTGTAATTGCAAACTATTAGAAATCCCTCTTATTTGAATGTTTTAAGGAGTAAACAATAGAATTCGCAATAATAATAAACAGTGTAACTCTATGTTTTATTTTAGTACATGTAGTGTTACTTATTTTTTTCTTGTAATCAATAAAATATTTATGTAATGGTTTTGAAAAATCTTGAATCCGAAAACGTTGCAACATATTTTACTTTATTTTTATTTATATACACTCACGAACTTTCATGACATGTTTTTAAACAACTAATTTATTTTAACCTCTACTATTTTCTTTATTTATAAACAGATAATTAAGAATCATTTACTTACAAGGAAATATACATTTACAAGATAAAGTTAAACGTAAACAATAACACGGAATTGTTATTCAATTGAATGGAAATTATTTTTTTTTTTAAACCTAAAATAGAAAAATAAAAGACGCTGATAGAGTAAGCAACTTACTATAAATAAATTAAAATATTAACAACTTTTATGAATTTTTTATCGAGTTTAAATCTTTAGATTAAACGTTGAAATATCAGAATGATATTTTTATTAATATTATATAATGAATTTTATATTGCGCGTTCAATGTTCATTCTGTTATCTTCTCGTCAATACACGGAAAGGGTCGCCATTCTGTGTGATCATGTACAAATTTAGATATCACTAGCTGTCGCCCGCGACTACGACGGCGTAGAATTAAAAAAAAAATAATTTGTAGCCTATGTACATATACTTCCAGTCTATATTCTTCATCCATGTCAAATTTTATCGAGATATGTTGAACCTTCTGACAAACATTTATTCATCCATCCATCCAAACTCTCGCATTAGTAAGATTACTAATATATATCAAACGTTTGTTATTTCGATCCTATATAGAGTTATTTTGCCTCTTGAATTTTTGAAACAAAACGTAACATAGCAACGATTAGGTAAGATTTGTTTTGATCGGACCACAAGAGATTCGATCATATCTTTTTTATTTGAACAAAACCGGATGGGATCGCGTGTGCACAAAAAGTCCACTAAGCTGATGCATTGTTAAGCCAGACGAAGTAACGGCATCGTTGATATCTAGTCCCACATCTCAGTGCGGGACGTTTTCACCCAGCAACAGAAGATCATATTTATTAATGACATTCTTTGAAGCAACATTGATATAGGCTGGATACATACGATGGCAGAACAGTTCGGCAAAGTAGCAGAACATTCCAGTACTGCTATTGTTTTAAACGCAGTTTCTATCTCGGCGTGATGCTCTGATTCTGAGCCTCTACGTATGATATTTATCATAAATGTTTATAGTTACGATGTTTACAAACAACTTGCGACACCGAGCCGTAATTGCATTCAATTAAACACTAAAATTGCCAAGTTAGCACAAACAAATTACGTATGTTAATTTTACTTAAGATTTATACGGTTTAAAACTTTGTTTATGACCTTCGTTGTAGTATATATCAAAAGCTATATGTATAATACTGCATCGAGTATCTCCTGCATAGCGAAAGAGGGTTGAAGGCGTATGAAAGGGGATGAGGGGGTGTCGCGCCGCCATCCCCACTCACGACATCGATCATGGTTGCCTTCACATTACTAAATATTTTCTCTGGCAACTAAATTACAAACAAAATAACCTTTTTGTTAAATTCTTAAATCTAACTAATACATTGCATCATTTTATCGCAATTTAAATTTAAAATTAAAAAAAAATAAGTCCTTGCTTCACATTTCACCATTCGCTTAAAAATGACTTTCTCGAAATCCAAAAATCACTTCAAGGTTTTTCATAATTAATTGGAAGGGTTTTAAATTCATAATTTTCTACAAGGTTTTAATATCAAAATCTTTTGAAATCGTATCTTATCACTTACGTCAATCCTAGTCAACATTTTGGCCAAAACGTACTCACTGTATAATCTAAATAGCATTTCATAATTATTGCAATTGCAATTTATTGAGACCTACAGCTATTATTACATTACTTCTTTCGTTACTAAAAGAGAAAACACAAATGAGATGGAGAACTAACATGAAACATCTCTACCCATCAAAAGAGGAAATATACATCATGTTCACGAAATAATATATTTTTTTTTAATATTACATATCGACACTCCAATTTTAATAATTTTATAGATAGATACAGTTTAGCCAATTGCCAAAAACGTTAAAAATTTTAAGCTGATTACGGTAATTGTTTGCTATGAAATTAATTTATTTTATTCCTAAGTAAATACAATTAAGAAGATCCACTTCACTTATTTAAAACGAAACGAACCAAACTGAGTGAACAAACTCCCTTACTATATAAAAACTAAGGAAAAATATACTAATTTGACCAAAGTGAGATAATTATAAATAACTAAATGCCAAGGGTAATTGTTGTAAAGAAGGCTATCTGGCTACGCGAATGATTTAATGATAATATTTGTAAACGGAAGCACACTCTGTCTAGACAAGTTTGTCCAAATTTAGTCCAAAGTTTGTCATATTATGATCTATTAAGTAGTAAACAGCACCACATCTACGCTTTACTGGAAATTGTATTAAGGGGAATAAAAGGTAAAAATGTTACGGTACGTTAAATATTATTAGATGATTTAATTGACCCAATGAATAATGATAAGCATTTACGTCACGTCGTGTCCCACACATTTTCACAAAGGGATATACATTGGACACAAAGGTGATATATGTTATATTAAAGTATTGCGATTGTGAATCGGAGTTATGTGAATGTAACAGAAACAAGTCGCTTACAATTGGAATTTACATCGGCCACTGCTCAGCGGTCTGATAACATCGCTATAAATACAGTTGCTTTTCTCACAGTGACATTGCCGGTGCGGCGCGGAGCGTTGCGAATTGCGATACATCGAGAGCAACCAGTGCCTTATCACTCACAGCACACAGCCGTACACAACACACTATATACATATCTCTACCACGCCTCTGCACTGTCATAATGCACCATGAGAATATGGTTTTGTTTATATTTTAATAACTTATTGTTAACTGCAACCGTATATAGTTTCACAGATATGAAAACAAACGTGCCCTTTTCTGTACAATCTTTTGCTTCCTGCCAGCAAAATCAACTATCATAAAGGTATACGACTCTAGTCACTTCCTAGAAAAGATTCTTAACCAACCCATTTAGATTTGCGTGTAAGTTTTCCTTGTTTCCTCACATCAAAGCAAGCTCAAAAAGACCTTGATTTGTTTTGTCATTATCGAGGATAATAACAATGTTCTCGTTACACGTGCCACTAGGTAACAATTGCATAATAGCATGCACCCGTGCCGCTTAGTGTCTTGTCATTCTGTACCTAATTGTCAAGCAATAAGATCGTAAAATATCCAAATTGCTTTGTCAAAGGCACGGAACTTCCAGGCATCAGTAAACAAACATTTTAGATGCACAATTGTTCAGTCTGTAACCAGAGCATAATGTGTGTCGTAACAGCAACGTAACTATTACTTACGTATTGACAATCAAATCATACTTCTAGTCCTTTTAGGCAAGTTGTTAAAAAAACAATTTTAATAAAATCCTTCATTGATGTGGTGGCATAAACATAAGTAAAATTTGTATTGCCAACTAAAGGCGGTGAGATAAACGAATAACTAAAGGAGATCAAATGGAATGCCCGATAAAAAGTGTTGTTTACAGCGACGTTTGCGTCTCCCACATTTTTGTACCAATATCGTCAATGTTTGTATCTTTATGAGATCAGACAATAAAAGGCGATAAACTACTTCCACTGAGATTAAAAGCGTAACTTACTTTTATAATATCCAATGCGAAATGCCTTATCAAATTACATTTATACAAAAAAAATGCTGGCAGTCAGTGTCATAACATCTTGAAACCTACTATAGTTATGTTTTGGATGAAATAAGGACGAAAGCTATAGCTTGAATAGCTGTTGACTACATCTTTCAATCTCCTTTTGCGCTTGTATGCGCAAAATACAAGCAGAATAAGGTCAGAGTGTACTGACGACTACGTAAATCTTACCAGCTACATAATTTGCTCAGACACAAGCTCGACCACAATAAAGAGTAACAAATGATTCGTATCATTAGAAAGATTTAATTTATCATTTTCTTCTTAACAATAAATTGCATTCGCTGTTATCTTACAAGGAAACAGAATCAACGTTACTATTTCTAAACAAATCTATTCTAATTATAGTCAGTAGGTATGACCTTATTCTACGTGTTAGTTATAACATCTTATCGATCGACATATTATAATTAATTATATTCCCATTACACTAGTATTTACACTTAACATTTAAAACTACTGACAACAGATAGAAGTACTGCTAGAAGAGATATTATCTCTTATGAGATGTAAATGTTTTCGTCGAATGGGTTTATTTATAAGCATTATTTTGATTTTTTAAACTGTGATATTACATCGAATGCTACGTTCATTATGTTGTTTATGAATTGAAAATATAAATTTGCGTGATCTTTGACATTCAGGGCCCGATCGGTAGCGTTACAGCGGCCCTTACAGCGACGATATATTTAGCGCGGCCCACACTTTGACGTCACTAACGCCCACCGCACCGGTTAGGTCAAAGGTAGCGCGGTGTACAAACGCTACAAGACTGCGTTGAAATCAATTTTACAAAATAAAATCTATTAGTAATTGATAATAATAGTGGAATTCTGTCTTGAGTGGCATTATTTGAGGTTATTGCAACTATATTAAAGTACTGAAAATAATAAGTTTCGATAGTGTTAAGAAAACAGCTGGACACGCAAAGCGAAGGACCGTATTCCTATGACTAACATTATACTTATACAGGCTAGTAATGACTTTATATGCGTTACATTATAGAGAAATAAGCCGACATGTATTGGTGTTATTGCTTTATTCATTATATAAATTAATATTGATTTTAAAAATGAAATACGAAATAGACACAATCAATTTTTCTATTAAGATGTGCACAGATAGTCATGGTTGGGCGGACACGTGTTCCAACAGGAAGCAATCATGGCCACGGGATGGAAGTCCACTCTTTTTGTTTCATTTAATAATTAGGCACATCAGATGTCAACGGCCCAACATCTATTTAAACGACAAAGAATAGATTGTGCAGAGATCTCGTTACAACAGTTTGATTACAACTAGCGTTGATATTACGAGGACGTTAAATTATTAGTTTTATTAAATAATGAAGGATTAGTGCCTTCATCCTCTGAGAATAATTACTTAAGGTACGCGTCCATTGGGCCGCGCCGGACGCACCGCACTCGTGGCCTGCAACGGATTTTAGTTTGCTTTGTAAGATTTTATCCGCGCCGCCCGCATTGCATCAAGGCAATAACGAAATATTACTAATTTCAAAGTTGTATGATCCTATACATATAATAAAGAATATAAATTTTTATAATGCTAAACATGTGGTTCAAGACATGTGTGTTTTGCCCAACGAAGTACACATTATTGTTATGTACTAGGTAGAACACTATAAAGGGAACATTGCGTTGTATCATACGCAGAGACATCGTAAAAGTGACTTGCATGTCTATATAGTGTTCTTTTAACAAAAATAACTATGATATTATTTGGAATAACTTTTAGCTATAATAAGTTTCAACTTAGAATTATTACGCAATTAGATTTATTCTTAAAGATCCTACATCGTCAGGAATACGTGGGTAAATCTATATATATATACTACAAGTTCTTGGAAAATATTTTGCCGCATTTTAAGTGGAGATTTGACGTCTAGCTTAGTACTCAATACACTGTTCTATAAAAGGCACCTACGTCATAATGAAACGGGAACACTGACGCCCGCAACATGTTTTACTGCAAAAAATTGATGAACAAAAATTACGAAGTGTAAAAGTACTACGCGATTAGGAATCTTTAAAAAAAATCTAACAGATTTGTAAGTTTACATTTTGAATATGGTTTATTATTTGAATCGCAAATTTATTGAAATAAATAAAAAAATATTTTTCATGCCTGTGACGATCTATGTTAAGCAACACTGGGTTTAAACCTTTTCCCAATTAGCTAAAATTTTTGGACAAAAAGACCATCATTATTTTAACATGACCTCGAAGATAAGAGAGGTATGGTGTTGATTTCTGTTTTAAAAATCACATTGCGTTATTTCTTTTAGGGACGATTTCCGTAGGTTCCTGCGAGCAGCTGTAAGCAAGAAAAAGACAGTAGGGACAGGCTGGTCGCACTTGCGTTGGCAGTCGACACCCTTCGTACTGATTACTGTGACCACACGTTCAGTTTCTTATAGACATTGTGCCCTTTCTGTTTGTCTCTTTAAATATTAATTTTAATAATATAACTTTTTTAAATTCCGAGCTGAAGGAGTCCAAATAAATTAATAAAAATTTTGATGAAAATATATTTTTCCCTAAATCGGACCATAAAGTGTGTGGGACTTGAAAAAAAAATAATTGAAGTAAATTTTCTCTTCTCTAATATTTTTTTAGTAAATTTTTACTAAAAAAAATATTTTGATTTAATATTACCAAACAGTAAAATAACCATTTTTTTCCGTTTCTTCAACATTTAAATAATATTATTAAAATAAAAACCAAAAAAATTACAAAACAGGTCTGAAAAGTCAAGTAAAACTTGTGGAAGCCCTAGCAATATCCATCGAGTGGAGGGGCGGCGCGCGCACAATCCCCCGGTCGATACCGAACCAGACTCGCATGTTTTTTATGTCTTATCATGAATTAACCAATAAAGAACACTTTCAATTACTAAACGCAATCCGCTCACTGAGATATTCCTTCTGTTACTAATACAATGCCATTCTTTCCAGTTTACAATCCCAATGTTTGCGTAATCGTCAGATTTCCGGCGTTGCTTCGTTGCGTCTGCGGAAGCGGCTTCGATAACTACCTGCTTGTTTTACTTTTTTGGCGGGAAATTTTTGAGCGTTAACTTTAAATTTAAATCCTGCAAGGTTTATTATACCTTATAAGGAGTTATTGCTTAGTTCTTACCTTTTAAGTATTGTTCAATATAAGTAACGACTGATTTCATTAAGCAGATAACTTGGTTAAAATAGTGATACAGAGGTAAAATACGTATGGAGACTAACTCAGAGTTTAATACTTTAGAAAACTTACCTGTAGATTGTGATGAGGCTGCGTGAGATGTAACTGCTGCTGCTGCGACATGTGCAGGTGGTCCATGGTAGGCTGGGGAGGGCGCGGCCGGTAGCTGCTGTAGCCGCGGTACCTCGACCAATCCCCACCGGCAGCCTGCTGGTGCTGCTCCGCCATGTGCTTCAGCGTCTGCGCCGCTGGGGACATCTCGCCGCCGTTGTACGGTCTCGCGGGCTCTCCCTCGTTCGGCTCCAAGCTGTTCGCCAAACCGCCTCCACCGTTCAGCTTGCCCGCGTCCAGATCGAAATCTTTCATAAACTCCGGGTATTCCGATATTTCAGTTATTAAATCTTCAAACGTATCGTCGCCGTCGTCCTCGCCGATCAGATCGGCCAGGCCGGGGAAAGCGGAGGCCGCGTCGCGTTCCAAGGCTGCAGCGCACTCGTCCAGCCCGACGAACTCGTCGTCAGCCACTTCAGACTTGCATTCGGCTTTGCATTCTCGCTCACAGTCCAGAGGTGACGGGACCCGAGGTGGCTGCGGGGGCGGCGGGGAGCCGGAAGTTTTAACGGCATTAGCGAGAGCTTTGACGGTCACGTTAGTGGAAATTTGTTGCGGTTGTGAGTCCGCAGCGGAGGTGGTGAATTCTAGCTGCTGGACTATCTCCACGGAGAACTTGGTGAGTCCCTCGCCCGCACCGCCGCCCCCGGCCCCACCGCACTGCAACTTGGCCGGTGGCTCATAGTCCCCGCATCCGAATTTTTGTTGCTGAAATTAAAACAAAATAATAGAAAAATTGTAAGTTAAATATGCATACATAATGTCATAGTCATAAATTACATGCACAAATAACAATCAAAACACACCGATTGCCACGTTTACGCACAATATCACAGCGAATATAACCAAAAACTTGAAACATTTAATGATCGAAAATGATAGAAAACAATTTTTTTACATGAATAGTAGCATGTTTCTGATGGGTACTAGTTTGAACTCGCCTACCCCGGTTAGAGAAATAATAAATGAGTAATTATTGCTTTGAAAATCAAAGAATTAACATTTGCGATCAGATAAAGACAAAAACAACCATCTGGACAACATGTATCTATACAATGAAAAATAGACATAATCTACTCGGACGCACGGCGCGGCGCGAGCAAATCCGCACACTCTGTTAATATCCGGCCTACTGTGAGCTTCACTTCCGCTGCGAAATGGACTTACGGCATTCGATTAACACGTAACGCTATATTTTTGCAGAACTATTATAATAACCAAACATAACTATATTATGATTTATTTTTATGCAACCTGTTAAAAACTATAAAAAAGTCGCTATCAATCGAGTTTGTTGCTACCCTCGTCATTAAATAGTCGCTAAGGGACTTTCTTAATCGATAACCTAATAACTCTGAGTGTGGTAGTCAATATTCTAAACACTAAATTACGTGTTACAAATTCGCAACATAAACCGAAGGTTAAAATTTTTTCCATCGCAATAACAAGCATACAAAGTATAAGGACCTCGACGTTGGCATCACGTGTGCGAACAAACTGCGTAGTTATAATAAACAAATGATGTATCACGAACGATGCCACACAATATATCACATGCAAATCAAACTAATCAACATCTTAGGATTTAAAAAAATTGCAAGAATTAATTTTCTAAAAGTAGATTTTCTTATTTTACTTACAACTGGGTAGCAAGCATTGGATTCATAAGTCAAATGCAGATTTTAGACTAAATTTATTATAAGTCATCAGATTTGATTGTTTGAAATTTGATACGCATACTGCGAACTTATGTCCCTTTAACTTGGAATTATCCCCTTCACTTTAGATAGTTCATCGTTTTGTTATGTATGTGTTTAGCCGAAGGTCGCTACTCCGTCTTTTAAAGCACATAGAAATAAGTGATTTGAATGATTTTCTTTCATTAATTGAAATTCATAGGGGTAAAATATTTTTAAATCAACTCGCCTTTTCGTCAATCAGCTAATAAACTAACAAATTTGTAATTTCCGTTGTCTAAGGAGTCTTAAAAGTTACTTAGTTGTTGAATTTGTAGGATGACAACATGATTTTCTTAGTGTTACAGCCAATACCTATGTATAACAGTCAAATGGTCTATATGGGCCGTTTATATTTTTGGCGGATCTATGTCATCTGCGGGCTGCGCAGTGCCACCTAAACACATTACGCCCTACTACACCTAAAATTTGTATAGCACAGTGACTATTTTGAAGACTATGTTCTGAGTGGCTAATATATTTGAAAACTTCAATACGAGTATATCATCTACCAGGTAGATAGAGCGTGGCCAAGCGGTAGGAGCGGAGGTCGACGTAGTGAACGGCGCGAGACAATGCGAGGCTCAAGTTGTGCAAGCGGCTTGCACAACCGTGCCCTACCACACTCCAACGACGCGACGCCAAGTGCCCACCACTACACTAATAAGCTACTTTTCTTGCCGCACTTAAATTCTATAAATGTACATTATTCACACAACACTTAGGGTGTCCGATTCTGAGTGCAACCATTACTCTTAGGATATAAAATAATTGACTATTTTACAAACCTTTTTATCAGTAATACATAAATGACAGCAAAAGTTAATTTTATTAGGAAAACAATTAAGATTAAAATTAACAACCCAAACACAGTTTATCAAATGTATTCACATCGAATAAATGTGTCGGCTATAATTTGAAACGCACACGCAAAAAGAAAAATGGAATTCAATGATAACATCAGGCATATCATCACTGCCCACGAATATCCGCAACAAGAAAAATGCAGGTACACTAAAGATTTCAAAGTTATTCATTGGTTCGGAAATACCTCTGACGATACCTGACTTTACAAAGCGCAGCAATTCCACGAAAAGCGCCCGACGTTACAATGCCAATCAAGATTACTTCGCAAATCCAATTAAAACCAAATCAGTTTCATAATAATTAACTCGTTAACAAACTGTGATATAGGTTAATTAATTATATTTATAACTTCGCTTATTTCAAACGGCTTAATGTATCTCGCAATTAAATATTGTATGTAAATACATTTTATTATATTTTTGCGAAGGACAAATGTATTAGTATCTATTAAAAATATACATATAATTCTTAAAAACTTTTATGTAAGATGTTCACAAGCAAAAGTAAACAACATAGTAGAAGTATTTCTTTATAAATTCCAGCTTGATACCTTCACGCGTTTTTGAGGAAAAGGGTGTTGACAGACGGATGGACGGACAACAAAGTGATCCTATCAGCGTTCCGTTTTTTTCCTATGAGGTACGGAACCCTAAAAATAATATAAAATGGATTATTACACTTTAGTCTTTGGTCAGAAATAAACCAATAGGAGAAGGGACTTTACAGTCACAAAGAAACATAGAAATACAATCGTCTAGGAGTCACCATGTTTTATAAAAAGCTTTCTATTCTCTTAATGCGTACGAACAGCGTCTAAGGTCTCACCCCAATTGGGGTGGACGGAAATATGTAGCTTTCGCGTCTACCCTCTGTTATCGAGCTATCTCGACCCTAACGCAAAATGGGATGCCCCATCACCTCACACGCCGACGTAATGGCCGCATTATGAAAAGTTTCATAGGTTAAGTTCAGTCTTCTTATCTAATCTACTAAAAAAAATTGTCTTTCTGTCCGCAAATCCGTGTTTGTTCCGGGTAATCTCCGAAACACCTGGACTGATTTTAACGTGACTTTTACTGGAATGTAAAAAACATTATAATATCATTAAAATCGAAGTAATTCCAAAGTATATGAACTTTTAGCAATAGCAACAACGTGTGAATATTAAGATACAGATTGTCATTACATTGTGGCGGCGTCGTATGAGCCACGGGATGCAGGGGGTCAAGTCAATTGACGTCGGGCTACATCCGGCGCTCGGTACCTACGCACGTGCTCCAAGCTAATTACCCCCTCCCCTGCCTTCGTCTCGCTCACCCCCCCTCGCGACAACTAGTCTCAATGCTCACAATCAAACTGTGCTTAACTCAAATTAAGTTTTAAATATGAATTTAATGTCACTAAACTTATTATTTCATACCGGAAGAGATATGAAAACAAGATTTTATAAAATGGAAATATGGTTGACACGTAGATGTAATTAATCGTTTCAATGTCTAAACTAACGAAAGGAATTTTCATAAAGATTATATTATAGCAAGTCATACTAATAAAGTTTCAAAACATATCAAGATTACAAAAGACCAAGGCTGATTCTGACAATGATGTGGTTGATAAAATTGTTTGCATATTATTGAAAAAATGCAAAACATCGTGGTAATGCAAACATCAGTATAATCAAATACCTATAAAAATTGTTAAAAAAATCACAAAAGCCATATACATTCGCAGAACTACATTATTGGATGGAAGAAAAATCAAGGAGATCTGGTGAAGGACAACGCCCAACAACGTCTTTTAACATCGCCATGTTTCAATCAAATTAATAAAACAACGCGTTACATTACAAATAAGTGAATATTTTTTACTACTAGTACAATAGGAGACAGTCTGATATACACCAGTTCGAACTGTCTGCACTTCTATGATGTGAAGAAATGTTATCGCCATTCAAGTATAACAATTTGATCACGTTCGTGTGTTGCACCGGAGCGATAAACGTTACATCGTCGCTAAATGATTGCGTAATCGTCGTCTTGTTAGTGAAAGTAAAGCACATGTAACAATGTAAATGTGTCGCAAAAACATTTGCGCAATACAGGCCTCCGTTATTAAGAACCGGAGAGAATCTCTATTGATATTAGACGATTCTTAGCTCGGTAATCACATTTTTCTAGCGCAAGAGGTATCGGTTTTAATTCAAAGTGAAATGTCTATACTAATACCGTTCGTTTTGGCATTTATTATTTCTCTTATTAGGGCTTAAGATGTCAAAGTACAATTAGAGGATGAAGCTAAGCACCTTATTAAGTCACAACCTCTTTAAAAGTAACTTATGTTGGGAGCTACATATACGCATACTACATATTTGGTAGATTTTCTGATAACAGTCTGATTCTGAATAAAGAATATATATAAGGGCGTGGCGTATAAAATTAAAGATGACTTTCCTTGGTTATATCGCTATCGGATAATTAGGTCTTAAGCACTCGGTCAAAGATCAGCACAGCTTCAGAGGTGAGTGGCATCTACGTAACTCCGTCGCACGGGCGACACGTGCCCACCCGGGACTCACGTGCCACTGCCACGAAAGTTTACACCACCGCGAATATTCACTCAAAACATCGACCCCATACTTCTATAAACCGTAAATTTCTAATTAGATATCCAGTATTATTATAGTATAACTACAATAGAAATATGCATAAAGATATTATAAATATACTTTCTTCGTTTAAAATCTTCGTACCACCAGTTTTTTTTTTTTAATTTTTGTTACCGTTAAATCCGTTTACCATATAAAAGACGTCTCGAGAGACAACCCTATTATATCAATATAAGGAATATCCGCTGTGACATGATCACAGCCACATTTCGCCGATTCAAAACGTCTGACTAATAACCAGTCCATTCGCGTAGCGGAAGTCAAATCAAATACCGTCAATATAAGAAAGGCATAAATAATACCAGTCCCACTCACCCTGATGAAGGGCATAAATAAGATGAAACAAAACTGTTATAAAAGATGATAGAAGGCCGTCTTCATAAAAAAAAATATGATGACGTAACTCTTTCCCTTATTAATATGAAGTTATTTAATCTCGATAGTTGTACTGTGAAGAAAAGCTCTATTTGAATTTAGATCCAGCAACAGCTTCTAGAGGCTTATATACGATGAAATTGTACAATTTATAAATAGCTAAACAATATTTCATTTTAATCAATAATTTCATTATTATACGTATAATGATACCAAGAATTGATAGCATGAAAACGGCCTTAGATTGTATGATAAAATAAAATTATAAAGATGCAAATTAGCTCACACAGCTCACATGCACACTGCTGTGCAGATTGCTACTGATGGCGGGTAAGTCGGGCTTGCGGTCCGTCTTCTTAGCTTGACGCTTCGCCTTGCCTTCGAGGAAGCGCTTCTGCAGGGCGCTGGTCTCCAAATTCTGCTGCTCGCATGCTCCGGTGAACGATTGGTCGAATCGCGGCACACATTCTGACTGCCGCCGCCGGTATGTTTCTATTCTACGCCTGTGAACAAGGAGAGTAGATATTTGTGAGATAATAGAACGAATGTTTTTTTTAGCGTAGTTATATATCCAATTCTTTACCATCATATTCTAGGGAATAAGCCTTAGGGTCACGTACTTAAAGTATAAGATTCTGCACTAAGGCACTGCTTATGTAATTACTAAGCAATCTGAGTGTGATTTTAAATGTATCAGTTATTGGTAGGCGTACTTTTTCGTTTCAGTGATGTTTATTTTAATTTACTTAGTTTAATTTACTTTAGTTATTATAATTTACTATTTTAAATTCAGAAAAAGTAACAAACTCCTAATAATTATACAAAGTCTAATGGAAGTAAAGGTTACATCATCAGTGACCGGGTGTGGCAACGAGTTTGCATAATCATTTGTTACCATAGCGGAAAATAGCTTGAAATACAGTACTACTGTGACTCAAAACCATAATATACACTCATTTGATGGGAAAAGAAAAGAAATATTACTAATGTGAATGACTCCTAGCTTAAGTAACGGACTAAAATAGACTCGGCAACTTATAGCGAATAAACATTGCGATAATGGTAATAATAAAAATGAAACTAATGACTATCGATTAATTTAAGTAAAATTAAAAATATATAAATATTTAGATCATAAAGTAGCCTAAAACCTTAAAAAAAATTGAAAGCATACTAGTAATAGTATAATGGTTAGTCTGATACGAGCAAACATTAGGCACGGCACGACATGGTCGCCGGAACCCCTGACTCATCGGACAGGTTTGCATCCGTTTGTATGACTATTGCCAACATTTAAAACATCTATAACTTCTAACTCACATACGACTAAATTTAGACAATTCATTATTTTGTAACATACTCGTATCTTTGTACAAAGATTATAATTGGCTGAATAATATGTTTCATCTGTTACTAAGAAAGACACGAAACAAAGGGTGCAAAAAACAAGTCTTCTAATATTAGTCATCGTTGACCACGAACATTCACAAAGTCAAAGAACTTCAGATGTCCCTGTAATATTTATAAGTAATAACATTATTGTTGCAAATTTACTAGACCGAGATCGAACTTCCAAAGCCACGTTGTGATGTGCTACTCAAGTCACACAATCAACAGATCATTTAAAGGCTAACAAAAATTTGGTTAACGAGGATATTAAGAAGAAATCTGTAGACGATTCATATTGTAAATCGTTCGCGTACATATGAAATACCGGTTGTTTAGTGAAGATAAGTAGCTAATCACACTTGACGACGGATGTTCTCGTACACGCGTCGACGTCGAGGCGAAACCAGGCGAGGCGCGCGGTAGGTGGTGGTTGCAACAGCCGATGCCCACTCAGCCGCGACCTGACCGGTCACCTTGCGCCAATGTTACCGCTGACTTTTCGTCCGCTCCGGTAAAAAAAACATTACCTACAGTGTTTTCATTTATTCCGCAGTCGCGTCGGCGATCGAGCGCTCAAGGTTGTCGTCAATAGAGCTAAATCATTTACATTTTTCACAATACCTAATGGATTTTTCTTGTTGTTTTTCATTCGGTTAAATCGCGCATACATTTTAAATGATCGTCTAACGTTAGCAACGATAATTGTTTAGCTATAGATATATTAAAAGTTTATTTTATATAACGTTTTTCTAAATCAAGCAAATAGCTATTTTAATTTCACGCTAACTAACGTATTACGCTCTTGGGTCAAACCATACATACTTCGTTCTTCTTATTAATCATAAGGAGGTAATGAAGTAGCACAATCGGCAATTCCTGGTATCTAATAAATAAAATAAAGGCAACTATAATAGAGCTGTAACTCTAATATTCCGTACTAGATGATAATTCCCTCTTCTTGCCTTTGCAATAAAAAATTGATATCAAAAGTAACTGAAGGCTACCTGATAAGTCTAACAGCAACATAGGCTTATTTATTACAACGCAAATGTAAACATTCATCGTATTTGTAAATAACAAAGCAGGAATTTCACGCGGTTTCACTTGCATTGCTATTTATTTTTCACAGGGACACCTTTGTTTAAATCAACAGAAATCGTCCTTCGGTTTTTAACTAGGTACGTACATCAGAACACTTAAAGGCAATTTTGTTCTATGATATTTTTGTTAAATTCTGTCTATATAGTAATACGTAATTCCTGATTAAGTGGCTAGCACATCACCATTTAATAATTCATAATTGCGATTAGACGACTAATACATTTTTTAATACTTTTTAGAGGAATTTTAAGTTCATCCATTACGTACTTGAAAAATTGTTACTGTTTTTCGTTTGTTGACACTTTGTTATCTGTTAAATTAAAGTTTGTCAGAAGGAGGTGATATTATACTATTACCGTCATTGTAAACTTATAATTTTGATCACATCTGTATGCTATAAAATGTTAAGACCATCAAGACTAATATTACATTTATGAACAAAACAGAAATTAAAGCAAAATGAGAAGAGGGAAAAAGCGCCAAATGTTAGTTTGGTCATTGCATTGTTTAATGTTATCATTGGCAATATTAAAAATTTAGCCATGTCTAAGCAAGATCGATCATTCGATCAGTATAGTTTTGTATTGGAATATCTGTACGATGCGCCGTTACACAACCGGTTCATATCAGCGCTGACGTCACGACGCGCGTCGCGCGACGCGGCGCCTCCAACCTGATACCCCAGTACTCGAGCACTCACATCTCTGTTTTATGGCAATTCTTCTCTTTTACATCTTTTATAAACGTAGCCAGTAACAAAGAGAAGGGAGAATATATGATTAATTGCTTAAATCATCATTTTTCTCCGAGGAGCCCTGAGACTCTGAAGCCCGGAGCTCTGTGGCTTTTCGAAGCCTTTCTGGCGGTCCAGCAGCTGTTCATAATTAAAAAAATGGAATACTATTATTTATTATTATATTATATAATATTTTAGAGCCAAATACCTCAAAAGATTAGTATAACATATTTATAAAAAGTTTAGATGCGAACTGAATGAGGGACACGAGAAAAGAATTCCAAATTCTAGGGCCTGAAATTATCAAACCTTTTCTAGGTTTCCGTAGTCAAAAATGTTTGAGAATCACTGGCTTAAGTTATGTTTTAGTATATTTCAAGCAAAAAGCTTACTTAGGTAAAATGTTTCCGAACGAAAATGTAAAATTATATCTTGAGGTTATTTTAGTGACATGAAAAGACCTATCTCATTTTCGCTTCGTGGTCATTTCTGATTGTTCGGGTCTGTAGAGTTGTAGCGTAATACTTAATACCTTAAAGCATTTCATAAAAATTGGGCCTTTAAATACAAAACTACTTTTTCAAATCTCTTTAGCAGTTCCAAAGATTATAGCGAACTAACTCATCAGCCGTTTGACAGAATTAACTTGTTCTCAAAGTTTACTGCAAGCTAACAGATATACCTACAGACCTACACCATCTTCATAATGAAACATACAAAATAGAGCATGTGCCAATCTACATCGTGCGACCTATTTAGCTCCTGTAACAATCTTAATGTGTTATAATCATTTAATTATCTTACAAATTGTTGGTAATGTGACAAATCCTCGTGAACAAAGCGAGGTTGTCGCTCCGCGGTCATTGATACGATCATCGTCTGACGCGACGTTGCCAATTCAACATAAATATATATTCGCTACAGGCGTCGAAAACCAACATCGAAGAAATACTTGAAAATTTACATGATTTATGTACCAAATAATGGTAACATTTCCAGACAAATAAAAAAAAATGCAAACTGAAATTTGCAAATAAAATCCAATCGAATTCAATCAGAACTTCCAAACAATAAATCCACAAATATCTACAAATTTAATAATGTAAGTATGCGAGATAATAAATATAGATAAAAGGGGCTCAAAAGGTAGTAGACATCAAAGGTCATTTACAGGAATTTTCAAAATTAAAGGGTCGATAATCCATATCGTCGATGTCAAAAAGCCTACGGACGTGGCTAGGACACAATATTTTTTTTTCTCATACATATCTTTGGTAAATTGGAGTGACGCTTTTATACATATAAAGCCAGCAGTTTTTACTATTAAACTAAGAGCAACTATCGAGCATTTAAACCCATTATTATCGTTAGAACTAATGCGCAATATCCAGTCAAGGCTATCGTGGTTTCTATTAAATTATAAAGCAAATTAATTAAAATACGATAAAGTTTTACACAACACCTTAAATAACCAAATAATTAGGTATACGTAATCAGTTCATAGGTCACTCACCACTCAAAGTACAATTTTACTAAAATTTGCCACTGGAAAATCTGCTAAAAACATTTCTTATATTAATTTTACAACAACAGGATGTCAAAATATCTATTCCATACGCAAATAATAAAACACATTTCTATTATGTACTATATTTACAAATTCATTAACGTTATACTTATCTACGCGCCATTTTCTACATTACCAATTCCGATCGTTATCAACTAACAATTCGAAGCATGAGCAAGTCGCCGGCATCTGAACGAACAAAGATATATAAATAATAAATTTAAAAAAACATAAAATTTTGCAGCATGTAGCAACCCTAACTCTATCTGGTGAAACTAATTACGTGCGATGTTACCAGTTGTAACTTCACTCCGCCACTTTCTCTGCGTTAGTTATAGGAGAAAACTATGTTGAACGCAAATAATCAAACCTTTTGGCGACTTAAAATAAAACATAGACAACATAAAATCGTTTTCATATTAACTAACCAAAATAACCATACTGAATTTAAAAACATTAAATTAGCTCGAAATGTCACAAAATGTAACGCCTTTCCAAAATTGAAATTCCCCAAAACCGTTAATGCAAGGGACCATAGAGTCCGGCGCTAAAACAGGTTTTACATAACGTAGAAACGTTGCATTAATTAAAAATCCACCACTTTACCCTCGAGTTGGTCCGTTTCATTGAACTCCGTAAAAGAATAAGACTATATAAAACATATATGTAAATGAGGGTTTGTTTGAATAACACAACAGTATCGTGCATAC